CAGGAAAATGGCCCCAAGACATTGCAGCGATAACAGACAATAAATGTTTTACTGAATGTCAATTTTCACATTGTTGCTGCAATTGACATCCTCTGCATTGTGAAGGCAAAAAAAAACACCAGTACAGAAGCAACAAAAACAGTATGGAGCTCTCAGTTCTGTGAGGTGAACAATCCACATGATAAGGTCCACTCCACTTGTGTTGAGCCTAACTGAGTTGATCTTTGGTGAAGCTCATCTTTTTCTCGGGTCCCAGCTTCTCTTTTTCTTTGCAGGCCCCGAAAGTTAAGTTGAACTTTGGCAGACCAGTTGATATTTTTTTTTCACTCTCCCCGACGACAAGAACTCATTCGTAGTCAGCTGTTGTAACATAACACCATATTCTTACTAGATACTCTAAGAGCTTCCAGCAGCTGATGTCAGTAAGCAGAAAATTATGTAGATCAATGAAAGATAATTTTTTTCTCACTTATCATCTTGTTAAATTTAGGCTTGAATAGCCAGAAAGGGCATATTTAGGATGCCCTGAAACAAACAAATCTCAAACGTAAGGGGGGTGCTGTCCCCCCCTTCAACCCCCTGCCAGGGTCCATTTGCGGAAATCTGCAAAGTTGCGGAAAACTGGAAGCACTGTACTCTAACATTCTGGACAGGCGGAAAAAAACCCCAAAACCTCTCAGCTTTAGCAAAGGGCGATAACCCGAACTCCCACTCACCGCCATGTCCTTCTCCAGAGCCACAAAACTTTTTTCCAGCATCGGCAGGAATGTGCGAGTGGGCGTCACCGTGGCAACCGTTGTGCTGAGGGAACGGGAAGAGAGAAATGTCAAGATTACAACAGAAGAATGTATTCAGAGCAATTTCTCACATGATGAGGAGGATGAAAACACAATTCACTCTTATGTTTTAAGTTTTTGTAAGAGTTTAATGGCACTTGCAACACAAATAGGTCATAAAAGTGCTAAAGATTTGAGGCGTTATTAAAGAGTAACATACACAAAAAGAAAAGAAAGAAGAGAGAAAAGGGCGATAAATATTTGAAGGGGAGGTAGGAGAACACCAAACCAAAGCACCCGCCGAACCACCGACTCAGTTCATTACACTATCATAACTCGCAAACTCTAAATTCTACCAATTCCATGTTCAATATGCCAGAGAAGAACATGATACTATTTCAAGTTCTTCCTTTCAGATTGAGAGTCATTGCATATTTCATAGTCTCTAACACCTTTCAAATACATTTTTTTAAAGCCTTCACAAACGAAGCACTTCAAAATCAAGTATTCCAGATTTTTTTAAAAATCACACACAGCAAAACAACTCTCAAGGACACAACAGGAAAGTGGACGAATGACCCCAGTGGGGTCAGAGACAGAGACATCCAGCCGAGCGGTCACTCACCAGATTGACTTGACCTTCTGTAAGACGACAGGTTTGTGCGTCCCAGAACTGACGTCCAGCTGGGCACTGATCAGGCAAAGCTGTGGGGGGAAACATAAACGTGGTACATCCGTTCACAATCTGTACATCCATCCATCTATACATACATACCATCAGTGTCAGACTCACAACCGTCTATCTACTAAATAAGGTAAAATACTTTTTTTTAGTCTCAAATTATGTTATTCACAACCATAATTACAATTGATAATACTGCAATACGTAAAAAGAAAATTCTACAGAAAATTTAGATCAATTCTTGTAAATATCTTAGAAATAAATAGGGTTTTTAGGTTTTCTAAAAATAACCTTTGTGAAAATCAATACACATACAAGGTTAGTGTTGGAAATCAACTAATCTATGGTTTTATAAGTACAACATATCTTTACAACATATAAAATATACACCACTACAATAGGACAAGAACATTCTAATATTCTATGGTTGCTCCTTGATAAAAACTGAGGAACTGCAACCTTCTAGTTGTAAGTGCACAAAATCTCTCAAGACCTTTGAGTTTGAGTGTGCGTCCTCCAACCACCCACCCACCATGACCTAAACACGCCCAGTGTAAGCCTCACCTGTACAGTGATGTCCCTGAGGTAGGGACTCAGGAACAAGGGCAGCGACTCCATCACTTTCTGCAGGGAGCTCATGGTGGCCAGTAGCAACGTCTCGTGGCTGGGGGAGGGGAAAGGTCAAGGTCATACTGTGATAATAGTCATGAAAACATCACAGGACAGTTTGAGTCAGAAGAAGCACATCTACTTACGTTTCTAAGTTTTAGTAAAGGTTTTACAGTACTTGCAACACAATTTGGTCATACAAGTGTCGAAGATCAGATGTGTTACAAGAGAGTAACTTAACAAATATTTTTTTAAAAGGAGAGATGAGGACAACAGATGTTTGACAGGAAAGAAGAAGCATTTTTGGCCGTTTTGAGTTACTAATGCCATGAAGTCAGAAACTAAATATTCTATCTGCTCTATCAAATATTCGTAAGATTATTAGAGTCATTATCAAAATATTCAAAGAATTGCATTCGAAAAATCTTGACACGTTGTGAACTTCAAAACTTTTTACTTCAAATTTCTCAAAACTAGGTACTGAGCAGATAGAACTTTGTAATTCTGAAGTTGTGATATGTAAAAGAGTGATTTGTTGATACAAGGCTGGCCCTTTAAACCTGAAGGAAAAGCAAGACAGACAAAAAACAAGCAAAAGGAAAGAAAACAAATAGAACCTACCAGCGGTGCCCTCCAACCAACTGCGATAAAAAGAAAGAAACGACGGCATTTGTAAATACAGTCAAACCTGCTCTTACGGCCACCTGTATAAGACAATCATCAGTTACAAACAGTCATTTCCCATTCCCCCCCCCTTGCATTTCTTTTTTTACATTATAATGACACAAAGTAGGCCACCTGTCTCAGACAGCTACTTTTTTCCTCAACAATAAGTAGTCGTCTTAAGACAAATTCAACTGTATACAAAGACAAAAGACCTCGTATAAGTGAAAAATCATCCAGAGCTCTGACCCACACAGGGCCCGTATACTCACTGCGTGATCTCCTCCGACTGCAGCTGTGAGACGATGAGGGGTACAAACTGGCCGAGATAAGTGAGGGCGTGCACTTTACAGCAGCTCACCACCTCCGCGATACACAGCATGGCCGTGGCAGCCACTACGCCGTTGCCGTGGTGACGAGACAACACAGAGGTACACAGATCCAAAACCTGGGGGGCACATAAACACACCACAAACATTAACAACGTACGAGATGACCAAAGCTTTCTTGAGGCAGTGGAAACAAGCCCTCCCGTAACAGTGTACTGACTGTTTTATAACCTTTACAAGAATTCCAGAGAAATTCATAAACCTGACAAAAACATAAAATTTTTATTAAGAAGAAACCAGTGATGCAGATGTTTTCTTTACCACAACCATACTTTCTAACCATCCCAACACCCTCACCTGCATAAAGTCCCCTTATCCA